GCCTTTCGAGGCCACGTTACCTTAATTCTATGTCTCACAAACCAAAAGATTTAATCCTCACTAACTCATTTACATTTCTGGTGAGAAAACGAAAAGAAGAAGTTATAGTAAAAGTCTGAAATTGTAAATAACTGGTAAATAAAAAAATAAATAAATAAATAACTATTATATATATATTTAACTCCTTTACAAAGATGCAGTTATTTAATATGTTGAGGAATCGCTTGCTTGGACTCCAATTTACTTTAGAGTTTTAAGTTATTTACTTCATCTGCAGCTATAGCGCAGGACGGGTTTAATAAAAATTTGCTTTATTTTTACCAGATATTAAGGTTCTTTATATTATATATATATATAAGATAAAAAATATGTAAATTAAAACTCTAATTTTCAATTAATAATTCCTTAATTCTCCATTTTAATTTGACTTCCTCGTTTCTGCCCTAGAATTAATAACAGCTTATAATTTCCAAATTAGTCCATGCCATATAATTTTTTCATAACGTTCTGAGGCTGATAACTTGCATTAATGCTTCAACCAATATTAATTGTTTCATTAGCTTAAGTCAATAAGCAAACAAAACAAAAGCTAGAAGGAAAATAAAAGTTATAATTCGCTATCATTTAGTTTTAGTTTGCTTTATCTGGCTTAAATATTATCCAATCGAGATAATTGAATTCCTCTTTTCGCAATGACATTCTGAGGCAACAAACACCCGCTTTCATCGATTAAAACGATTTACGCGAGATGGGCCTTACTGTTTTCACCTAGCTTAGCTTTAGAATTCTGCTGTTTATAAACCGTTTTCTTTCTGTAATTTATTCTAGAAATTTCTTTTTAATGCGTGTTTTATTGTATGAATTCCGGTACTTACTAAATATCGCAACAGTTTTTGTAGTAACTGCCAAATTTTCAGAACGTGCCATCTCTGGCACCCATGTGCATAACCATTAAGCAGCCATTTCATAACATTCCTTCAGTCAAGTAAAGTCGCCATTTTCGCATGCGTTCTTTTTGTTCTGTTACAAGTTCCAACGATTTTTATAGACAAATCGTGATATTTTTTGCCTTAAACTCAATTTTAAAATATGCCTTTGTGGGATTTGCTTGCAGTAGAAGAAGCTGCAATAAAATTTTTTCAGGAATACAGTATTTAACTGCAGAATCGCTAATGGGAGAACTAGTGAGATGCGTTTGATAGGTAATCGGTACTCAGTGCCGAGATCGTGTGCGATGCCGAGTCTTCTCTGTGAAGTTTTTTAAACGAAAGTGATCGCTGTGTACGTAGAAATGGGGGGAATAACATGAAAAAATTACGGAGGTATTTCTCAAAAATTGCGTTTTGATATTTTAATGCATCACACATTCCTTATTTGATAATTAAAGTTCGTATTTCTGTTGATACGTTGATAATGTTTGCAGACTTAGTAAGTATTGATAGTTTAAGAAACTTATATAGATGGGAGACTCACCAACTTGCACTTCATAAGTAACTTCGTTAGTAAAACAATCTCCAGATTGCGCGAAGGTGGTTGCATTAACACTTAAGTAGCTAAATTTGTTTTTGAAAGTACAAAATCCACCTTCAAATATTAACGCTTGATGATATCATTCGGCTCGAATGTATTCCGGCTCCCATTAACATATGATTACGTTTCAAACAAGCATGCATGAAAATGTCGAGGAGCACATTTAGAATAATGGTTTGTTGTTCCACGCTTGAGCATCGCTCTAAAATTGCTTCACAGAAATTGGTGTATTGATCAGATTTTTAAGTTTAACAATCCAACAGGCTTTTATCACTTAAATATTCTTTGTCTCAAAGGGACTTTTTGCAAATAGGATGAAAGGGGAAACATTCTATTAAACAGCGGATGAACTGGGAAATCACTAGTCAGTAGGATTAGTAAGGTAACGGCGTCTTCTGGAAGTCTTCTCTTTGAAACAAGCAGATGTGGATAGAAACTGATAAAAAAATTCTTTTTCCTCTCTTTGATCTTAAATTCTAACGCAAAGAAGTGTGTGTTTCGAAAAATCAAGCTATGTAGAAATTGGATCGAGTTCATTTCCGTAACTTGCTTTTAACTTTAGTAATTACGACGAACGAAATAGGAAATGGATGTTTTAAAAATTACACGCATGTAAATGTGTTTCTTATAAATAATTGGGCATACTTCCAGTTTAAGAAATAAACCTAAAAATGTTTTAAGAGGGCGATAAATTTGATCACGATACATTTTTTAGTAAACATGTGCAAAATTAAAATTTCTTATATTCGTTACCTGCAAAGAAATTTACAAATTACTAAATTGTTCTCCTTACTGTATTAAATATCTTTTAAGAAATTTCCGTAATATGTTAACTTTGGTGCTGGAAGGAAAATGTCGATTTTCGGGACCATATAATGTAGAATGTTGTTAGGTAAAAAAACTGGTCTGTGGAATTTAAAACCCTTAGAAATTTCTGTTTGAAAGCTTAATATATAGAACTGCAATATTTCTAGTCTTCCAAAAATTTAATGAAGTGTATCTGAAGTAATTTATTCGTATAAGGATTTGCTTATTTATTTTCTATTCGTTAATTTATATTTCACTTTATTAATTATAATTTTTTATTTATATATTAGCGGAAGTACCTAGTGCCAGTTAAGTTAGATTGAGAGTAATGTGGTTATGTAACAACAGAGAGAACGATACCGCTGCAATCCTTCTCTAATAACGATGCAAGAAATACGATTCATAGTTATACATTTTTCAGACTGATGCGATATGGAACCCACATATAAAATTTCGATAGAAAAAATAATCTAATTCTCTCTTATTATATCAGCAACAATGGCAAGCAGTTTTTAATGATTTTCACTTTTTTAATCAAATGGTCTTAAAAGCTCAAGTCCCATCCGATATTTCACCTATATTCAATTTTAGTGGATTGAATGTGGCAAAAAATTTATGATAATTGATCAGAAATCAAAAACGCGAACAAACAATCACACAAACAAACATTCTTCTTTATATGTATAGATTTTGTAAAATTTACAAATTTTTGATTAACAAGCTCTATGATTTAAAAGCGAGCAGTAGCAACACTTTTGGAAATAAAGCATATTTATCTCCAAAGCGCGACACTGTTGCCAATCGGGAAAATGAGTGCAAAAATGAGCGCTTTCAGAGTTTTTAATTAATATTTCGGCGGATTAAAGTCGTACGAAGATGGGAATAGCCGAAATGGCACCCCACGAATTTTTGGAATCGGTATTCGTGTTTGAGAATGCTATTTTTATTTCATCGTAAAACTTAATTTTTTTTTATTAGCAAACTCAGGATTTGAAAGCGAGCAGTGGCAACACCTTTCGAAATAAAGCAGATTTTCATCTCCAGCTTACGAGACTGTTACTACTCGGGAAAATGAGGGCGAAAATTATCGTTTTTCCGAGTTTTTAATTAATATTTCTGATTTTAGCTATATTTTTATTTATTTATTTTATTTTATTTTATTTTATTTATTTATTTATTTATTTTTTTTTTTTTTTGGAAAAAAAAGTGGACGTCGACCTTTTCCAAAACCCATAAAAGAATTATAAAAAGCTTGTTGACGATAGCTAGAGTAGTGACTGATTTATTAGAGGACAAACGCACAGACTTTCTTCTTTATATATATAGATGAGACCTTCCAGGGGAAACATAATCAAAGTGCGTATTATTTTCGTCTTGTAGGTTCTGCAAAATAGGAAGTATTGCTTTTTCAAAGGAAATGACTGTTGCAAGTCGCGTGTGCAAGCGATTCAGTGAAATAAATACACAACTGCGTTTTTAATAATCTTTCCTTTATTAAACGAAAGCACTAGTCTCTAAATAGTTTCATTTTAGAATCACAGCGAATTCTTTCCTGTCATTTGCGTGTGTTATTTCGAGGAGCTAGTTTCAATTACAGAATTGTAACTTAGATTTTTTTTTAATTTCAAGGAGACTAATTCTTGAACAATAGGCCTATCATAATTGGTTAACTTAAAATTTTCCAGGCGTTGAACTTAAATCTGTTTACCAAGATCAGGCTGCAGTTAGTTTTTAGTTTTATGATTTCCACGCTTTAAAATTTTAAAGATATTTTTAATTTATTCGACACTTCAATGGCAAACTCTTTCGAGTTGTTGATAATAATCTGGACTTCAGGCTACATATTTAAGAATTTTTATTAATTTACTTTTTGCATTTTATTTTTATTCATATATGTTTTATTAATTATCACTTATTAAATAATTAATTTATTGTTATTATTCCCTTTTTTTTTTTTTTTTTTTTTTGGCTGACTAGGCTATGGGAAACGTACTTCTCGTTGACCATTTCTTTATTTTGTGCCACTGTAAAAATTTCCATATAAATATGCTAAATTTCGTAAACGTTTCTTTAAAAATCATCACATTGGCCCAGTTGTCGCCGAATTCCCTATTTAGTTAATTCATTAGATTGAAATTATAAATCTGCGACCCGCCTTTAAAAGATGTTCTAGACGGAGTCTTTTTTAAACATCCTCTTTAATGCATATTGCCATTACCTAAATTGAAATAACGAATGACTGATGGCGATTAGACTGCAGTTCTTGGAATAGAAATACTTTCAGGTATTACAGTTTTCATAATTGCGTTATGTCTTCAATGAAAAAAATCGAAATCAATATTTCATTAATATTTATATATGTAACGCGTTCGAAGAAAGATACTTACTTGTAAATGTAGTCAGTCACCTTTAGAAGTCGATAAGTTTTCAGATTGTGCCAAAATATAGCACCCCTGCCATTACAATTCTTTAGTTTTAACTGCATTCGTTTATCCTTTTATTTATACTTTTTGCGGTCTGTGGCCTATTTTAGATGCTTAGTTGAAAAGTCAAATTATTGCAGTTGGCTCAAACTGCAGTGCAGTGATTTGATTATAATTATTCCTTGGGTATTATAAAACAGTTTAATAAAATTGTTGACTTATATTTTTCTTCTTTTACAGGCTTCCAAACCACTCATAGAAAAAAGGCGCAGAGCCAGAATTAACCAAAGTTTAGCCGAGCTCAAATCTCTCGTCGTCGATTCGAAGAAAGATACACAGTCTCAAGTAAATATTATTCATTATTTAATGACCTGTTTTAATTCCATATTTGCTTGCATATCATTTTCTAAGTGCAAACTTTCCTCTCTTTTCTCAAGTCAGAAAATATTTCGTACTCTCTCAGTCTTATTTATGAATATGCTCTTTAAAGAACTAATAATAAATATAATAGATTACTAAGAAAAATTAATTTCCTTCCCGCTAAAATCTAGTATACCAGATACATAAGTTAGATAAAAACCTTACTGGCCAAGAAAATATAAAACATTTGTGTTTTCGGGGAGGGGGGATGCATTTACATCACCAATATGCCAACTTAGCATTTGTAATAAAATTTGTCATTATTAAAAATGTAAGTTTAGATAATATAGTTGACGACCTTTAGTAGTGTCTACCTACTTTAGTTGAGTCCTAAAGGAAACGCAAATTATAATAATTTTAAAATAAAATTCCCAAAGCTCCCTAAGAAAATCCATTTTGTATTGAATGGTTGTTTTAACAAAAGTGGATCGAATATATGCTCATCAAATGGGGACTATTTGCATCGGTTTTTGTATACATTTCTATTACATTATACGTTATGTAACTAAACTAAAGAATTTAATGCAATTGTATTTAATGAAACATTATGAAAAAAGGAGGGGAAGGCTTAACTGAATTCGTTTTAATAATTTAAAGAAATGGAATCGTTTTTATTAATTGCTTGCAGTTGATAACACTTTTGCTGAAATTTGCCTCGTAAAATTCTGGTCTAATTTTCTGGAATTCATACACCTGATAAATAACAAAATTAAATATGTTAAAGTAACGGCTTAAGGGAAAAATACGTTAAAGTTATTGATATTAAAAACGTTAATGAAGCTTTCAAATGTTAGTGCAAAGAAAGAAAATACGTATGCGTCGAAGCGGATTCGAACTAGCGACTTATGGGTACCTCTTAATCTAAACAATCCACCGATCTGCCAAGTGAGCTATCGACGGGCACCATGAAATGGGGTATTACAAACACATGCCTTAATTTATTGTACAGTTGGAACGACGTAACCTTTTTATGTAATGTAATTTTAATCTATTCTTATTATCAATTAATTTGTGCGTAAATTCATAATGTTAATGAATGTATAAGACTGCTCCTCATAAAATGGTAGCATTGCTTCAAATTGGCAAAGCAAATTAAAAAATATACGTAAATCTAAATAAACGTGATAATCTAATATATGAAGACGGACTGCATTGGATTATATAATTAGGGAAAGCATACTAAGGCTATCTGTCGATGAAGATTTTTGGATTTTCGAAGGAACTTCATTACGTTACAGTGCAGTCTCTGCAACTGCAAGAAAATCTCGTGCAGTTGCCGAGAATAAAATCTGTGAAAATATTATATTAACTCAATTTCGAATTCGGACGAACGGTTGGGCTGTATAGATGTTTTCTTCGCTTTTCCTCATATGTAGCATAAATATGAAGCATCGAGAAATCTAATTCGAAAGTCGAAAGCATCGTTTCTTTAAATAGATGGTCCTCGCATATTTTTCTTCCTAACAAATTTTGAATGCCTATCTTCGTATCTCAAAGACCGAGTCTTTTTAGACTTTCGTGCATCTATTTTCATATATTTCATTTTTCACAGGTAAATAATTTTACTTATCACATTATAATACATTATTAAAAGTATTTTTAATATATAATACTTGTAACTATACGATCGGTGATTATTCTGTTTAAATTTGCGTTTTAAGGTAGGTAGGTTAATTAAGGCAAAACCCGCTAGGGTAACGTACTTGAGAGGAGGATTTTTTAAGAGAAACTGACCAGTATTCGCATTAGACATGGAAAATCATGAATACGCAAATACAATCAGCAGGATTCCGTTCAACCAGGATTTGAACTCGGGCCCTTGCCTTTTACGATCACAGCAATTTGAAACCCTTCTGAAGCATTCGTTTATAATTGGACTTGATTATCCTTTAGACCACTAGGGCAAGACTAAGGGTTAAGGGGTTCCACAAATTATGGTATAAGACTCAAAACTCCGTTTTTCTGTCATGTAAACAAGTTAAATGAGCATTGCCAACCCTGAATAGGCACGTTCCTAGAGTCCCAAACAACCTTAATCAGATTGTGCAACGGTTTGAATCTGCGATAGTTGGTGATCTATTGCAGATACTAGCTATTGATAGTTTGATAATGTGCAATATTAATACTGCATACGTATGCCAAAACCATTGTAATTAACTAGATAAAATCTTTTTTTTTTATTGCATAACGTTAGAAACAACAGTGTCATCGATAATTCAGTTGAAGTTGAGGACTGTAAGTCATAAAAAGCAGTAATCCACAGGTGGCTGGTTCAAATCCGGCATTTTCATTCTTCATAAAAAGTCTTAGTTGTGCAGTAGCCTGAATTTTCTAAAAATACTTTTTACTTTTTGCTGACTTATTTCTTGTCTGAATCCCAGAAAGAAGAAGAAGCATTTAGGACAAAATTATCTGTAAACCTTTGAGAGTTTAAAAAGAAAATCATAATTTTATATTTTATGTATCATGTACACGCAACTTTTATATGAATTTGAAAATAAAGCAATTTAACTCGTTTAATGACGATATTGAATTGGTTGTTGTGGCCAGGACAGATCCCGCAGATTCGGCTGATTTGTGGCTCGAATCAAGTCCCGCATCCGGGTCAAAATTCGCGTCTCGAATTCGTTCAGCTTACATTTGTGTGGTCCCTGTGTCTAACGGACAGACAGACAAAAATCTACTTTGAGAAAATTAACGGTCTCTCCACCACCGTAGCGTGAGTCGCATTGTTTAATTTTTGACACGACACCTACGTGATCAAAACCCGATCACGTTCCGCAAATAGCCGCGCGTACGTTGGGCCGTCACCCACAGACCTGACCCCTGGCTGTTATTTGGCGGTCGCCAAATTGGCGATGTCTTAAATGAATTAACGAATAGTTGGAGATTAATGAGGTATTCCAGGTAAACTGATGATTAGGCGAGATGATCACTATTATTATATAAGTTAACCGAGGAGTAATTTTCACGACGTTGCGTTATAATTTAATAAGTCTGTTAATTTGCTGACTTAATTAATAGTCCGGAGGTGCACAGCAAGTTCAAGTATATTCAGATTGATAATTTTGGAACACAACTTTTTTTAATAATGTTAATGAATGTACAAAGTGATCGGTCAGTGCAGTTGCACGTGAGTTCATCATAAGCAGTCGTGAAACTATTTTTTATTCGTTGTAATTAAAACCTCTGTTTAAAGCGTAAGGTCTTTTCAATGGAAGAATTTTTTCTTTTTACTATATGACTGAGATAATGCATAATAATTATGTTTTTATAGCTAGGAAATTAATCAAAATTGGTATTCTGAAGATTACTTCGTGCATTTGCATATTCTGATGCGAAACTTAGTTGCTGTGAACTATTTCTTTGGAATAGAAAATTAGTGAATACTTCATTTTATTAGCACAAAGGGCAATTTCACGAGAAGGACTATTGATTTCGTTGTGGCATTTTGCGTTGGTTCACTTTAAACCACGTTTCACTTTTCAGATTGTTGCCGCCAAATGATACAACCCTGTATTATATTTAAAGAAATTAAACAATGAGGAATCTGCATGAATGTATATATGGTTCTCGCATAGTGAAAAAAACAGTGGTAGAGACATCAAATTTTGAACAACATAGTCCTCAACTGGAATGTGGGCATTGAAAACCCAAATTTGAATTTGTTTTATTATCTATTTCCTATTTTTTAAAGCTTAACGAATTTTTGATTAACAAACTCAACGATTTCAAAGCGAGTAATGGCAAAACTATACGAAACAAAAAAACAACAAACATTTTTATCTCCAGCGCACGAGACTGTGTATCAGAACTCTAAAGATATGTTCTTTTATTAGTATGTTGTGATATTGCTGTTGAATTGAATTTTATGGTTCAAATACGAAGAACGTGATATTTAATAAATAAAGGTAACACACGAAACGTTAAAAAAATCGATCCTTTCGGCGTAAAATAAAATATGAAAGCTTTCAGATTTTTTTTTAATACATCTTGTTTTCTTTATCTCATTTTCCATTACTAACACGTTGAAACTTTTAGGTTAAGTTGATATATAAGACTAAGGATTGATTATCAGAAATAAGTGGATCAGTGTTGTGTCTTAAACAGCTTAACGGACAAAACGGAAGATCGCAGCTATTTTTTAAGAAAAAATTTTGGACATAAAAAATTTCGTATGACACAACATCACTTAAATTTCGCTTCACATTTTAGTGAATTAAATACGGTATAAAAACGCATCAAAGTCATTTCCACTTCTGTTTCTGTCGTTGGATATTAATTATACGGTTAAAGTACAATAGTTAGAAATTTAAAATGCATACCGTTGCAGCTGCATTTCAATGAGAATGGTTTACCTTTAAACCAAAATAATAAATTAAATTTTAGACCAAAATAATAAAGGTAACAAAAAGAAATAATTTTAGAATGCATTTTTATCGTTCTGAGCTTCCTTAAACATGTCCTTCGGAGTTTTTTTTCGTTTTGCAATTTTCTCTCTGTTCTTGCTGCGATGATTCGCCGTTCTGTCAGCACCAAATGTAGGCATTTTTTTTTTTTTTTCTTTCTGCTTAAGTACGCACAAGTGTTGTATTCTTGACACTGAGACTGTCTATATCAGAAACCTTGTTATAGGTAGATATGGTAGAAATAATAGATGTTCATTTTGGCATAACACAGCATTTATGATAAAATTCAGATTTAAATAATGTACTGTCTTGCAGCCATGGGATATAAGATGTTGGCAGAAAGAATTCTCGCACTGAGAGTTTTATGTATCTTAGCATCCGTAGTCTAATTTATTAAGTGGAGAATAAAGGATCTATAGGCACAGATAGAAGTTAAGCCATCCCCGCTGTAGTACCATAGGTAATTGAGGTATTGCTATATCTAGCTAACTGTTAAGCTCCCGCCCCAATTTGAAATTCCAAGAGAGAACATCCCTTTTCTCCTGCCATCCACCTCTCGAAAGGATTTCGGCTCGCCTAGCATTTTGGGTGCCTTGTTGCCTCACGCTTACAAACGCCATTGTCTTCTTGATTCGAACTCGTAGCCTTCGATACGGCAATCAGTGTCACTAACCCCCATAACATTTGTGTAGCGGTAAAGAACTACGCATTAGCAAGTATATCGCATTGCTCTTCATCAGGAAAAGAAACATTAATTTAGGTTTGTGTATATTTGGTTATTAAAAACCTCTCGGGTTTTGAATTCATTTTGGAATGATCCTCTTTCCTAATTTATCCAACTGCACATATTATTTAGAATTTTCGAGCCCATAAGATTTGCGTGTGAAACGTGGGTAATTCCTATAAAAAGTCCGCCACGAAGACATTCTTCCCCTTAGGCAAATAGCCTTCGTGCGCTTTGCCGCAATCAAATAAACCAGACCATAAGATTCCCTTCTCTTTCCCAGTTAGACCAAAGTTTTCGTAAATTACTTAATCTTTAGGGCTTATACATTTATACATAGATTAGAGATAATTGCCACTAGTGAAAATATGTATAAGCAAATTTCAAACTAAACTTAAAAGAGCAGTTACGAAACCAACCAAAAATTATTTTAGCGAGGGAAAAGCTGCTCATTTCTCGTATTCTCATGAAACATTAATATTGGTTAAATTGTAACACCTTTCTTAATTTGACTGATGTAATATCTGTGACAAGCAATTTATAAATTCCATAGGAATTAAATTCCGACACTGTATCCTTAAGGAATAAACAACGAAATTTAGAAAAAGAAGGGAAAATGATCTGCACGCTGAACTTCAGAAATTTTGAGCAATTTTGTAACTAATCAAAAGAGGAAGGAGCAGCCAGCACTGCGATGTTATCGTGGTTGTTTTCAAAAGGAGAATGTTCATTATGGTTTTCAAAGCTTTATCAGTAACAGGAAAAAAACATCTGTAAATATCAGTAACAGCGTTCAAATTATTGGGTGTACTTTGAAGTTAAAATCCAATTAAGCGAAGAAAGCGTTTTCGACATTTCGGCAAGCAAACTATCGCCAAATGTGGTAAACCTTGAAATTAGCGCGAAACCGGAAAAATTCTTCCTTCTGTGAAGAATCAAGAGATGGGAGGGGTAGGGGAAACATCAGTGTCCGGAGATTGTTAAAACAACTTCATCCATAAAATTAGTGTCTCTAAATAACCTTATTAACTTGCACTGTACTAATAGCAACGCATTCCAAAACAGAATGAATAGGGGATAACCCCCTTTTAATGTGACACGTATGACGGCCAGGATGATGTTTTCGCGATGTTTTCTTTCCTGCATTTTCTTGCTCTAATAATTATTTAATTAGGCGTTCGTGTAAAGAATTTAAATTGATAATAAATGTTGTTTTTCGTTTGGGAGATGTAAAGAATTTTTTTAATTAATTTTTTGTACGATAGCTGCAAATATCTTTAATATTCTACAATGAAATTTGTATTTTGAGTATTTATTTTGCATTTTGAGCGCATACTTATTGATGTCATTGCAGAAATTCTTCTCATTAGTATTTAAATCCTATTTACCTCATCAGAAATTTAAAAAAAAAAAAAAGTCAATTTCCATTCAAACACTTGGATACTTTTTACACCGAGAAAAAAGAATCCAGTGCAAATAATTTTTAATAACTGAAAATACAAATAATAATAATTCCTTTCTATTAATTAAATTTATGTCTTTTAAAGAAAAAAAACCAATTGCGGGGCGTTACAGCCGAAAAGAGCAGAGATAAATTTGTATTAATAGAACTAGATTAAATCATTATGACAGTATAACTATCTACTAAGGAAAGAAGCTGTCGTGGAGAACTGCCGGAAGATTAGGCTAAGTTACTTGAATATGGCAAAGCAAATGACGGCTATCTGCGTCTATCTTTCTAAGGGAAATGTGTTTGTATTCATGTTACACAGGGCGGAGACCACGAGGCAGCCAACCTGTTCGCTTAAGTCAAACTACCAGTATTCAGCAATCTTTAACCACTTGGCCACTGGTTGGCCGAATGTCCCCAAATAACTGACTCTATTTATATATCACACGATGAAGGCAAATGATTCCCGAAGCAACCAACGTGAAACAAACTAGCAATATCTTTAGGCCTTAGCCATTTGGCTATCATTTGGATTTCCACGAGGAAAAAGTTGCTTTAATTTTCTGAAGAACTATGAAACCTCTTTCCGGAAGCCTCCATAATCACATTGATATTAATCTTTACTAAAAATTAGTACTTTTTGCATTAATGGATAGATATAAGTTTTTACTTAGACTTGTTTTTAATATCTCTACGCAAGTCACTAGAATTATCTGTGGTATTTCAAAAGTAGACTCTAATGTTATTAATTAAATAAAAACGCGTATATTAATTAAAAAGTAAATAGGTTGTACCATTACGTATATACATAAAAAGGTAATTCTTTTAAATAAAAAATAAGTTTGGAAATTTTGTCACAATGATACAATGAAGGTTATTTCTTCTTATTTATGTAATGATATGAAAAATTTTCTGCAGCAACATATTGACACGTCTCCAGACTGTGTTTCATATGGGTAACTAGAATTTTATTTTAATAGCCATAAAGTCATAAATAATTCCTCATCCTTAAGATGGTATTTTTTCTACGAATCTTTGTAAATATGAGATTTTCTTTGTGAATTTTTTTAATAACTATTGATTAACTGTTTGCCTCCTCTCTCGCAGAATACTCGGCAGCCCAAACTGGAAAAAGCGGACATATTGGAAATGACCGTCATACACTTGCGGAAACTTCATGAATTCATTGCTCGTAAGTAATTATTTCATGAAGCTATTACATCCCTAAGAATGATTGTTTACTTTTCTTCTTTTTTCTCTTTTCTTTTATTTCTTTTTTTGTCATGATCTCTGTGGATTGTTAAATCAGTTGTTCCCACCGAATTTGAAATCTAAAAATACAATCTAAATATTTATATTATTAGATTTAATTTTTGATATTGCATCATACAAGGAGGAATCTTGTGGTTAATTAAAAAGTGATGCTTTAAGCAAAATGATGTTAAAATAGATAAAAAATTATCTTTTAAGATTTTCTCATTAAATTTCGAAATTTAATCATGAGTATTCATTTAGATATCAATTTTGTGTTATTCTATAATAACTACTCAATCAGGCTTTGGTTGGAAGTAGAATTACTACTTTTTTTTTCTTCTGAACTTAGTACAATATAATATTGTAGAGGCATTAGGTTATTTCGAAGCAGGAAAGATGAAAAATGAGCAGTCACTCGCCGGGACTCGAACCACGGACCTCTCGAATTCGCGTCTACCGTGCTGACCGCTACACCACGAAGGCATGCTAAGAAGGCGGGAGAAATACCTTATAATATAATCCTCATCTATTGTTTTAATCAAAGATGAAATAAAAATTCTTATTACATCTATACAGGCTAAAACTTGTTCCTTAGTTCATAGTTTTCACAAATTATTTTCTCCCTGTCGCTTTCTAGTTTAGAGAGGAAAGAGTTCTTTACTTGTAAGAAGTAAAAAAGAAGTCTTGTTATTCATACAATTTGCAATACCAAACGCTTTATTAATCAGTTTTATCAGTTAGATTTGGGATAAGTAACGAAAGTTTAGAGTACTAAAACCGCTTCCATACTTGCTAGCTACACTCAGCTGTGAATCGGAAGAAACATTTCCTGGAATCTTAGTTTCCAGCAGATTTGTTTAATTGACTTTCCTGAAATTCTTCCAAAATTATTTTCTCTTCTGCTCCGACGCGAAACAAAGCTTGCAGGCTAAACATTTTCCATAGCTTTTGAAAATGACCAGGGTACGTATGGGCAATAACTTTTGGACAGTTTCGCTGAGCGCAATTGTTTTATCTGAAAACTTTCCATTCCAAATAATTCTGGGTGAAACTCGGCTCTTAGAAATAGCATTGCGGGTCAGTATATGATAAAACTTCATAAGACTGTGGAATTTTCCATGTACGCAAGAATCCGAGAAATAACTTCTCTTTTTTTCTTTTTATTATTTTTTAGGGAAGAGCTGTACATTTCTTTTATTATAGATGTTAAGGATACTGACTAGAATGTTTTGGGTAGGAATCTCTTTCCGTGCCATAATGAAATGTGTCCGATAGGTAGGTTTCGGAAAATTAAGTATTTCTCCAAAAAAGAAAAAATGGGAGAAAAATTGAAAGCTTAGGGGACATAATAACTATATCTTTTCAGAGCAAGAGACTGATAAAGTGAATGTTATACAGCCTTTGAAAAAGCGATATAATAAGCGGAGTAACGTGTTGTCCAGTAACCGCTTCAAGGCCGTTTCAATGTTTATGTGAAAAATAAAACTCTGACGACATCGCAGTATTTGGCAAAAAAGTTGAGTTTAATCGGGTTTTTGCCGCGACAGCATTTTTACAGACGTGAAGGCTAGTCTGAGATTCATTTGCGCTTGCGCGCTGACCACCTCAATGTTGGTAAATTTGTTAATAATAACAAAATGATGTAAACAAGAATCCCACTAACATTTCTTAGTTTGCTTATATGAGGTATTGTGCGAAGCTATGAACCAGGACCTGATTATTACTTACATCCTAAGCCCACATAAATAACTGTCCAAATTTTAAAGGTCCCAAAGCTCATCCTATAATTCATCTTAATCCTGTTTTTCCTCATAAATAGAAGGAAAGTGGATGTTAGAAGCTTTGAAAGAATGTTCATATCCTCGTCGTCGCAGACAAAGATATTTTGAACTCGACCAAAGCCATTTTGGAATTATATCAAATCTAAAATGTATTGTGAGGGTGTTCTTGCTTACAGAATTAACCCGGATAATTGTTAATAACTGTCTTTAATCGAAATGTAGGCAAGTTTGGCATAATTTACCTACATTCGGATCAAAGGCGATAATGATAAAAATTAGGAGATGATTAATTATTTTCACTTGAAATTTTTGTTCCATAACTGCTTGAAAATCTCAGCTGGATGCTATACAATGGAAAAGAAGAAACTTCAGAATTGTATTTATTGGCTGGACGTTAAGAAGAAATCATCACGAGAGTTCTCTGTAGTTGCTATAGATAATATTTTCACACATGCTGTATGATGCTTTCATGTGCTCTAACCGCCAAACTAATAGAAAATGATATTGTACATAACTAGGCAACTCATTATTTTAAAAGAGTCCTACAGTATGCTCAAGATTTATAAATCTATTTCAAAAGTAAAGCAAATTAATTTTTATTAAATATATCTGAAGTGGACGTACGAGACTTCAGTTGCAATGTATACAGTTTGGATTAGTGCGCCGCTTTTATTAAGCTCGCTATACTGAGTACTAGCGATATAAAACCTCCAAAGGTTTTCAGGAATTACTGTCTTTTCATGAGACGCTGTAAATTTAGGTTAGCTGAGTGAGTAAGCATATCTGGATAATTGGGAATTTCTGTCCTGTTTATCCCATATAAATTCTTAGTCACAATGTAGTAATTACATTTGACAAATTTTCCATCCGAATATAGGCATTTTCTAAAGCGCAGAATTCAGAAACTCACTAGGAAATAGTATTAGCTACGGGATTCCAGAATAATTACTGCTTTTTCTAATCTCATGTAACAGCTAAACAGAAAAGGTCATTGCATTCGTACCATATACTTCGAGACATCGGCACATTAGGGAGTACATATGAAATGGCCCTAATAAATCTTTTAACAATCAATTATTTCTCTTCAAAGCCTATAACTTAAGAATCTTCTAAAAGAGTTTTAATTACGAGATATAATTAGTTTTTCTAATTGAATTTTATGTTAAAAAGTTATACATTCTATTTCAGAACCTCCAGTGTTTGATGGCGATGACGGCAGTTACAAAGCTGGCTTCTCTCGTTGCGTACAAGAGGTGTTTCAGTTCCTTGAAAAGGAGAGTGGTCTCAGCATCGCACAAAAGTCACGACTACTGTCTCACCTTACTAGCGTCGTCCCTGCTCTTTCCAACTCTTGTGAACTCAACAACAACGCCACGGATGATTCTGCGTCTTCGTGTTCAAGTAGCAGCCGTAGTGGAACTCCATCTTCGACCTTAATGGAATCATCGCCAATGGAATATGTGCCTCGTAGCCCTTTCAGTGACACATCCAATTCGCTCTCATCTCCTTCCAGGACAATCTTCTCCAATAGGACCGCCCATGGGGCAGACTCATTGTCAACTGCTTCTAATGGTAACAGACTGGATTGCAAGAATTCCTTTTCCATTGATATGCAAAATTCAAATCAAGCATCTGGTAGAGTGATTTTGACAAATGGTTTCCTCGTTTCTGATTCTAATCACGAGAACACAAATTTCATTTTGAACAGACCATTAAATTTGGCTTCTTCTAGCTCAAGAGATAATCAAAAAGAAGAAAATGTGAACGGACATTTCATGGTTGACAACGAACATTCCAGAAGGCTTATCATGAACAAAAGTAAGGAATGCAGAACATCGTTTGAAATTTCAGGCAACGGTGTACAATCAGCATTTCCACACAGAGATGAGCAGAGAATGGACTTTGCTCCAGAAAATAATCTCTCCGAAGAACACCACTATGTTGAAAATGTCTTGATGGATAAAGGTTCAGTTCTTGCTCACATGGACCCTGTCTGGAGGCCATGGTAGCAAAGTCAGATGTGATTTTAGTGATTGTAGTTGACTATCCATCATGCTGACCTGTTTTAATTACGAAATGAAACACTTGAAAATAAACTTTGGTTTTACTAAGTCTGAACTGTAAACAAAATTAATTATTTTTGCAATAATTTGATTGATATTTCTAATGAAAATGTAGAATATTCATGAATTTTTAGAGATTTGATTTATTGTTTTGATAGACTTCTTTACCCCTTCGTCAGTTTTTATGACTTTTTCTGCAGGAAAAAGAGTTGAAATGATGTGCCATTACTAAAAGTTTGTTAAATATTTTTGAATATCTATAAACATATTTCTGTTAAGAAAATATCTTAAGAAAATATAAATAAACTAAATAAGTTGAGTGATGACATATATTAATTGCCACGAAAGTGTTAATATTTTAATTAATTAGGAGACATAAGATTATTTAGATTATGTCTCGAAGGCTCTCTGCCTAAATGAAAGGATGCTTTAGAGGAGGATATTTCAAGGAAAGCAGCTGATTTGTATTATTATTACAATGGGGGTAAACCTCGAAAATTCTCTTGTAGCCAGCCCGTTCCCCAGAATATGAACCTGCGTTGAACTATCAGTGTTTAGGTATTTTTACCGCTCGGCATAGTGTTTTAGGGGTATCAGAGATGTCAGCAGTTAATGTAAGACGATTGGATGTTCCAGGTTAAAGGGTCTTCTCCTAATCATATTAGAATGAAACCAGCAAATGGAAAAAAAAAAAAAAAAAAAGTGTAGTTAGCTTTTCTAAAAGCAAACGTGGAATTTTACCAAATAAATAACTGATTTTTGTATATTGTAGAAATGCACATCTATAAAATATTGTACATATTATGCATATACATCATATCTTTCACTAATTTTTCTTTGATATTTTTGATTTTGAATTGTACATATGTTGTAAATTTTTTTAAATAATCGCCCGTTTGCAAAGGGCTTGTATCTTAAATATAGTTAATATTATTATTAATAATATAAATTAATTTAACAAATCAAATCGGAAAACGAGGGAAAAGTTTATCAAAATTATGTCCCATTGTTGTCATAAGTTTATTTTCCACAAAAATAAAATTTGCTTGTAAAACAGTTGTCTCGATTAAGACTAAAACATGGATTTTCTGATTTACTGACATCGCCACGTGCTCTACCTATGAAATTACAGAGTTCTACTCATTACTGTTTTTCTTTTGTTCATAGCAGCCATGTTGCCTTACTATTCATTGCAGCAGAAATCGATCATTTCATATATATCATTAAATTATAATTTGTTTCATCTAATTCAAACTGATCATCATGCGTCATTTTTAGAAACTGGCCTTACATGCTAGCTTTTCTGAACTATTTTACGTCCTGTTTTATTCCAAAAAAAACACATTTAATTCTGTAACCTTTATTTATACATAATTTATTTTTGTATGATTGTTAAATTAAAATGTTATATATATGAATGTAAAAAAGTGCCTTTCAGAGTTGTTCTCTTTGCACTATTACAAAAAGAGAAATGAGACGACATGTATATATATATATATATATATATATATTATGCGTACAAAGCAATATATTTTGTGGTTGCATTAATTATTTAATATGTTGCGAACATATTTTTGTATTTGAAATGACTTAATAAAATGATTGCTGTTATTTTGATTCTTGCTGCACTTCTGAAACATATTTGCTTTTGTTACCACCTGGATTTGTGAGTTTATATTTTAATGTAGGAATAAATAAAACTTGAAATCTATAATAATATCTATCTCTGTAACTTGAAATCTATGAATTTCAGATTCAATCTAATACCTCATGAAATTTTACATTTAAAAAACATTTAAATAATATATATATAGTTACGGAGGTTATAAATCAATGCGCTCGAAAGGCGTAATTTTAGCTACCAGAATATTCTTGGTGATAAGTAATTAAGATTAAAACCACACGTGGTTGCCATTTATGCCAGAATTTAAATTAAAAATTGTAAAGAGAAACATAATTCATTGAGCTTTATTCTTGGATATGGTATTTCTGCATTGTTCCATTAAGTTTTAAATTTTCTAATACTGTTCTCATATGGAATAAAATCGCTCCAAGATATTATTTTTCGTTGCGAAATATTATAATATAGCTATAAATTATTACCTTAGAAATCTCGGACATTTTTGTTTTTCAAATTGTCTTATGATTTAGTGATACATTTTCTATGATGATTAGTTTGAAAATGTTAAACAAAGGTATGAGGAAAAAATTCAACACTGCATAAAAGCAGTTATCCATCGAATTTTCACAATATTCTTGTGCCGTATTGCCCTGTCATCGCAAAACCTCCGTGAAGAAATTTTTAAATTCGGGTTGTTTGAGTCTAAGTTTTGATATAAATAATAAATTATGTCAGAAATTGAAACTGAAACAAATATTTGCAGAAAAAATGTAATATATTGTTTCTCTTAGTAAATAAAAATAGTTACTTCTTCCCAACAATTAAAACTTATCATTAACGTCAATGATCATATTCTGTTTTAAAAATGTCGATTTTGAAGGCTCCAGAGTTTGCACATTTTTATCGAGCGTAAGATGACATTAAAGAAGAGTATCGAAATATTTAAAAATACACAACTGTATGAAAGAGAATTGAAAAAAAAAAAAAAAAAAAAAAGGATTATACAGAGAGGATTGTCTCTGTCTGTGATGTTAGAAATGAAATATGATTTTTGTATTGATGATACGTGTACTGGATAAAACTATAAGAAGTAAGATTATTTCGAAAAGCTTCACTTTGTTATGCTAATGAGAAAAGCAATTTTTAGAAAATGGAAGACATTTGATAGATCTTATGTCTCAATGAATGACAGAAATTTCTCTTGTTTCTGATCCTTAGTTGTAATTAATATTTTATTCATTAAATGAAAACAGTAAAACTCATTCAAGGTGTGTCACTAATAAAATAAAATATGTGTAATAAAATAAAACTATAAATAAACATATGCTAATAAAATAAAAAATCGCCTTTCTACTGTTCTATCCTAATTAAAAATAAATTTTAAACATGCATGATCACTGCTTTTAAATTGCTCAGTTAATTAAGCGAGGTAAAGCATTAATTTGAAAAACAAACGAAATATCTAATGGTAACATTCCTGAGATCTCACAATATGACAGGTAACAGCAATGATAAATTTAAGTAAGAATATAAAATTTCTTGTAAAATTAAATATCAAGTAGAAAAAAGGGCTTCGAGTGGTTTTTATTAATACTATATTATTATACTCTCAAAATCATTTATATATAATTGTAATTTTTAAATAATTTAAATTCTTATGCTAACATTTTCTAATATTTATCTGTAAAGAAAATAATATAAATTAATATCTGTCTTCTCGAATAAAAAAAAAAAAGTGTTAAGTAAGTTATAATAAAAATCGTAGATTTTAAATACATATTACACTGAAACAGCAAAATAGAACAAAAAACGAATAAAGTAGTGGATACAATCACAGTTTAGAACTAAGAAAAGTGATGCTCAAACGGAAAAAATCTGTTACAATAGTACTATAAAAATGATAAAAGGTAATTTTATATTTCTCGTGATATCTTCATCAGAGGATTGTTGCCCTGAGGAATGTAAAAATCTTTATTTACACACACATACATATATGTATATATATATAAGTTTCACAATATCTGAAAAACAAAAATAGTAAATCGTAATCTCAATCAGAGTTGGACGATCCGCTCTGGAACTGAATCAAAGAACCGATTCACTAAATTAAGTGAATTTGATCAGACCCATAAAACTGAGTTTTTCTTTACAGTTCATAGATAGCTATTTTTGAAGATGTGCCAGGAATAGAGATTTTGCAGTCCATGTCTCCAACTTAATTTTTATCATTTCACACCTTTTTGAATTTTTTTCCCTTAGAATTTTATAGTTCTATGCAGAAAGGAGGTTTCAGGGACTGCAATTGAAAGAAATCAGTTCAGAAAGTTAACGTCTGATTGAGTCGATTCTTTCGATTTCACAGCTCGTTCGATTCTTTTCGCTCCAGCCTCGCCAACCAGTCATCATTCCGCTGCTCGTCCGTGTTTTTCTGCTATTTGCTTTATTCTCGCTAGCAGCTCTTGATTTACTCGCCGTTTTGGATCTTGTTCATCAAGGTTATTATAAATGAGCGGAGAGTGATTAAAAAAATTTAAAAAAACGATTCATTTCGGTGAGCGAAGGATTCTCATCCAGTCCCATGAAAGAGAGATTTTGTCAGTCTCTAGTCTCAACCAAACGTCTTATTTGAAATAAAATGATAAATGACTTTTTGTAACAACATATCTTTGTTGAGAATTCAGCTGTTGTTGAAAAAGAAAGAGAAAACGAAGTTCATCATGGTTTTTCAAGCATTTTATTTTACTGAAATCTCTTTTTCCTGTTGTGGGGGATCGGTGAATTTAAAAACTGGTTATTGTTCTTAACTCTTGTAAGATCTATCTCTACTTGTCCACATACACTAACTTAGATCCTAGAATGAACCTGGCGAATTCTCGCACAGGCGTGAATTAAATACCAGCACAGAAGAAGGGTGCAAAATAACCCTTTATTAACTCAAACTAAATTAACAGAAAGCACGGACTTCGTGCGTTACAAAACACCGTTCACTCGCGGCGATAACTAAACGTAGACTAGAATACAAATCAAAATCTGAAAAATAAACGAGTGTAAGAATGCACTTCAAAATTACTCCTAAGAGATCGACTCACAGAAATCTAACCGGCGTGATACTAAACAGATATGGATAAGAGGCTCACTAGCGTGACCGCGAAATAACAACGAAACGTGCGCTAGGCTAGCGAAGCGCTCTCTGAATAAACTGAGATAATCACACGCTTAAATAGAACTTCACTTAATTTTAAATTTATATCCTGGCGAGGGAATGTGAGGGGAAGTTTGAGAACTTGAGAACAGGAAAACTTAAAATAAATTTGTTATGCAAATTAAGACAAAACCTACAGTTTCATGTAATTGGTACATAGATAAAACTACTTAATTAAAAGTTACGGATCTTCTAGACACCCTTTTTCATATTTTATGCTTATGAAAGGGCTAGCATATAATTCCATCTACTATTAGCATAATTACATTTTTGTAAGATTTAAATTATTCTCAAATAATTAAGATAATAGTTGCTGTACGGAAGTGTTGGGATTGAAATATTATACAAAAAATATATTTAATAATTAAAAATATTAATATAATATTAAATAAAGAAAGAATTTAGAGAAAATATTAATATGTTTTCATAAACTTTTAAAAAATATAGTCAGATTGTGTTCTTCCCCTCCTCCCTCCAACGCTTTAGTAGGAGTTTTGGTGTAAATGAAAGGAATATTTTCTATTCCTGATACAAGAATTGAGGAAGAATGGTTTATTTCCAAAGGGAAATGAAGAATGATGATGTAAAATTCGTATAGATCATAAACAACTATTTTAATTTATGTATGATAATTTTGTTTAAAAAACTTAAGCATTGGAATATATATTCTCTTTACAGTTATTGATAACTGATAATATACTGAATCAGCTTTGAATAATTGTAACAGAATCCATGAAGTCTTATCGGTGATGCATTTGGGGAGGACGATCGGAGGAAAACTTTTGATATTTGCGCTACACGTGGAGGAAATCAAGAAACCCTATGAAACCAGTCCGTTCTCCAGAGAATGAACCTCAAATAAACTACCAATACTTCATG